TTACGGCTGAGGGCCGGTAGGTATTAGTTCTAAAGAGGTCAAACGTAACCTAAATTTAATTATGGCCAAGCGCCGGTAGGTGTTAGTTCAAGTTAGGTCGAACATAACCTGAATTCAGTTATGGCTGAGGGCTTGTAGGTGTTAGTTTGAACAAGGTCAAACATAACTTCTATTTAGTTATGGCCAAGGTCTGGTAGGTGTAAATTCGAACAAGGTCGAACATAACTTGAATTTGAGAAAGATGTCCTGATAAGTGTAAAGTTTATTGCCTTGACATTATTGCTTTTGTTACATACTTGGAGAAATTTATAGGGTATTGGCTGGCATTCCAGTCCCAGTATATCTAGTCCCTTCATTGGTCGATCTGGAAAATAGTGGGAGGTCGAGCAATAAAATAGTAACCGTGGCCCTTCCTTCATGTACTTTGACTCGAAATGTTCCCTTCGCTGCCTCGTTAAAAACCTCCTTGAGAAAACCCAAATGGAACAGAACTCAAGTGAGGGAAAAAAGAGTACAGCTTGGGGGACGCTTTTTCTCTTAGAAGTTGAAGTATTTGAGGTGGCTGATATTCCAGTTATGTGGCAGTTGCTTTCCTTCCCTTGTTTCTAGATAAAATGATCTTTTATTTGCTTTTGTTGTGATTTTGTATGGACATTCCTAATTTGTTTCCAGCTTGCCTTCCCTAGGATCTTTGCTCGTTTGAGTTTTAGCTTTCAGTACGTAGTCCCCGACTTTGAGCGGCATGACCTTTGCTTTCTTGTTATAATAGCATTCTACTTTCTATTTTTGGGAGATCATTCTTATATAGGCCATATCTCTTCGTTCGTAGACTTCGTCGAGTTCCTGCCTTCTGCCCTCATCATTGCTTGCACCGCTCTCATGGGAGTACCTTAGACTAGGATCTCCGACCTTGACTGGTATTACTGCCTAGGTCTCGTAGACCAAAGAATATGGCGTCTCTCCTATGCTCGTTTTTGGAGTTGTTCGGTAGGCCCATAATACTTTTGGTAGTACTTCCGGCCACAGTCCCTTGGCGTCCTCAAGCTTCTTCTTCATGATGTTTAGTATTGATTTGTTGGAGGACTCTGCTTGCCCGTGTCCCACAGGGTGGTATGGGGTTGAGAGTATTCTTTTGATATGCCATTTCTCGAAAATTTTGGCGGTTTTCTTTCTCATGAACTGAGGTCTATTGTCGTAGTTGATTTCTTGTGGAAGGTCAAACCTGCATATGATATTTCTCAATATAAAAGGAATCGTACGTTAAAAGTACTTGGGCGAATGATCCTACTTCCACCCATTTAGAGAAATAGTCAACTAAAAGTAAAAGGAATCGTACGCTACCTCACTTTACCGGGATGGGGGCCACGATGTCCATTCCCTATTTGATGAACAGCCAAGGTGAGGTGTCCGAGTGGAGGTGTTCACCCCCTTGGTGAATCATTGTGGCTTACTTCTAACATTATTTGCATCACTTCAAGAAATCTACGACCTCCTTTTTCATGGTAGGCCAGTAATATCCTACCTATATGAGGTATCTGACCAGTGCAAGGCTGCCAGAATGAGCCCTGCAATGACCTTCGTAGATTTCTTCAAGGACGCACCGAGTTTGGTTTGGTCCTAGGCACTTCGCTAAAGGGCCGTCGTAAGTTCTCTTATATATGTCGTTATGGAGGATACTGTATCTGGCTACTTGCATTCTCAGTTTCTTGGCCTCTTTTTATCACCTGGGAGTGTGTCGTCCTGCATGTATGCGATAATACGATTGCGCTAGTCCCAAGTTAAGTTAATGGTTCTTACCTCAACTTGGTCTAGCGATGAGGTGAGGAGACGGAACACATTTTTGTCTCCTGTTGTGATGCTTTTGGTGGTTGCGACTAGTTTAGGGAGGCCATCTTCTTTGACATTCTGTGCTCGTGGATCGAGTTGGCATTCGTCAAACTCGGGCAACAACTTGCAGATTTTGGTCTTGATTTGGAAAGTCCATGTAACTTGGTTGACTACGAACTCAAAATCACAGTGTAGTTTTAACCGTTTTGCCCCATACTTGAGCATTAGTCTCAAACCTACAATGACAGCCTTATACTCAGTGTCATTGTTAGTTATATCGGGGCTCCTTATGGACTGGAGAATTAATTCACCTGTTGAGACTTCGAGTAAGAGTCCCAGTCTGGACCCCAACACATTGGATGCGCCATCGGTGTATAGGACCCAGAGGTCTTGTGTTTGGGGGGGGTGGGGAGTTTGGACGGCTTCCCTTTCGACTTCAGGCATTATTTTTGTGCTAAAGTCAACAAGCACTTGTAACTTTATCGGCGTTCGTGGTTGGTACGTGATATCATGCTCGCTTAGCTCGATGGCCCATTTGTCTAGCCTTCCCTATAGCTCGGGTTTATGTAAAATGCTTTTTAGGGAAAAAGTTGTGACGATCGAGATGGGGTGACATTGGAAATATGGTCTAAGCTTTCGTGAAGCTATGACTAAGGCCAAAGCCAGTTTCTCGAGGTGTTGGTACATGTCTCAGCATCGACTAGTGTTTTTCTAATGTAATAGATGGGACATTGCATACCTTTGTTTTCTCGAATTAGGACTGTGCTTACAGCTAGCTCAGATATAGCTAGATAACTGAGGAGACGCTCCACCGACTTTGGTTTTGAAAGAAAGGGCAGCGGCGACAGGTATGCCTTTAGCTCCCTCAGCCCCTAGATGCACTCTAAAGTCCATTGGAGACCGTTATATTTCTTAAGTACGCCAAAGAATTTATGGCACCTATCCGACGACCGCGAGATGAACCTCGATAGGGCGGCGATGCGGCCAGTCAACCTTTGGACTTGTTTTTTGGTGGTCAAGAGTTCGGGTATCCCCTCGATGGCTTTGATTTGGTCACGGTTGACCTCAATCCCTCAGTATGATACCAGAAAACCTAGGAACCTTCCTGAGGCTACGCCAAATGCACACTTTTTCGGGTTTAGTTTCATTCAGATGGATGATGTGATCTTCTCCCCTTTTGGACTTGACCAGCATGTCGTCTATATATATTTCCATTGTCTTATCGAGTTAATCCTTGAACATCCTTTTCACCAACCTTTGATAGGTCGTCCACGCATTCTTTAGTCCAAAGGGCATGACCCTGTAGCAATACGTTCCTTGGTGGGTGATGAGCGTGGTTTTTTCCTGATCTTCCTCTTCCATGAGGATCTGATTATAGCATGAGCAAGCATCCAAGAATCTTAGTAACTTATGCTCGGCTGTTGCGTCAATGGGTTTGTCGATATGAGGCAGCGGGAACGAATCCTTTGGGCATGCTTTGTTCAAGTCTGTGAAGTCCATGCACATCCGCCATTTCCCATTCTTCTTTTTAATCATTACTATGTTGGCGACCCACTTGGGGTACTTCGACTCCCTGATGGAACCATTTTCTAACAATTTTCCACCTCCTCGCGCATTGCGTCATTGATTGCGGAATGGAATTTACGCTTGACCTGCCTCACCGGGGGTGGAAGAGGTCGACGTTTAATTTGTGCATGTCGATTTCCTTTGGGATTCCTGGCATATCAGCATGGCTGAAAGAAAATAAATCCGCGTTAGCTTTTAAGAATTTACTGAGTTTACTTGGTTCCTGAAGTTTGCAACCGATATAGGCCTTCTTTCTATGGTCGTTGGGATCTAATTGAACGGGATCAAGGTCTTCTATGGTCGATCTTGCGGCTTCGACTATGTCGGGGTCTTTGATGCCTTCCCAGATCTCGTCATGCCCCGACCTAGACCCTGCTGATTATTATGCCTCTTTTTCTTTGTCCTTCCTTTATTGGATGGCCGTGCTATCTAAATCAATATGGTAGCATTCCCGGTAGTGGTGTCAATGGATATTTAGAAACCAACTAAACCGACCGAACCGTACCGTACCGAACCGATTTTTAGGTTTCTTTTAATAAACCCGTAGGTTTTTATTTAAATCTATAATCATACCGATAACTAGGGTAGGTGTTTTATTTTATGAAAATAAACTGAAAAAAATACCAAACCGTACGGAATAAATTTACAATGTAAAAAATATATTTATATATAGTTTAAAAATAATAAAGCATTATTTTTTTTTTCTGGGGCCTTGGAATTATGAAATAGTTACAAGACAACAAGTAAATAAACTCAAAATCCTAATTCCCAAACCTATTATGCTACTCCTATTGAAACTAAATTATTTCCAGCATATTCACTTGCAAGATACAAGGTATTTTAGCGATTAATGTATTGAATATGTTTCATTTCGTATGATTTAGATTTATCTTTTTGAATATTTAATCTTCTATAGACTTTATTCTTGAATCCCAGCTTGGTTAATATCTTTTCGCTCATGTGATTTATATTTTTTTTGTATTTGCTTAGTTTCTTTTACGCTGATGTAGAATAGTTGATGGATCTATACTCTAGCCATATTTTATATTTTCTTAATTCATCACCTTTTTTGCTAAATCATATAAAAGTACGTATGTTATTGTATTCTACTTCTACTAGTGATTTTTACATGACATTTAAAAAAACTTACCGAAGATTTACTGAACCGTACCAATACCGAAGAGAAACCGACATGATTGGGACGGTTTCGAAAAGTCTAATTTTGGTTATACATAATAGAATAACCTAAAAATTGGTATGGCACAAATTTTATAAAATAACCGGCCGAACCGAACCATTGACACCCCTAATTCCCGGGACGTACGTTTGTCTCCCCATATGCTGAATATTCCCCATGGAGTTGGGAATTTGATGACTTGGTACAAGTTGGAGGGAACGACCTTCATGGGGTGTATCTATAGTCATCCCACTATGGTGTTGTACGCGGTGTATTGGTCCATGATGTGGAATGTTGTTTCCAGAGTCATGCTGCCGGCCAAAACGAGGAGTGTAATTTCTCTGGATGTCCGTTCAACTACATTTTTAAAACTAGTTAGCGTGATGCAGCGCAATACTATCTTATCCTCGAGTTTCATTTGGGTAAGTACTCAGGGATGGATAATGCACGCGCCGCTCCCTTCATCTATCATAATGCATTTAACATCAGTATCTAAAATTCGTAGGGTAATAACGAGGGCTTCATTATGAGGAAAATCCAAACTATCAACGTCCGACTTGTCAAAGATAATACTTTCTTCGAGTTCGTCATATAGTTCGCGGGTGATAGATCGCTTGAGTTTGTGGGTAGTAGTGAACTTCACGCTGTTGATAGAGGCGTCACCGCCGCCGCCAATGATCATCTTGATGGTACGAGCTGGTGAGGGTGGTTTAGGCGGTCTTTGGTGTTCACGTCCTTTGGCAAAATTGGTTCTTCCCCTATTGCTCAGTAACTATTTTAGGTGACCTTGTCGCAACATGTTTACGACTTCTTGCCTCGGGGCGGTGCAATCTTCAGTCTTGTGCCCTCGTTCCTGGTGGAACTCACAAAGGGCGTCAGATTTTCTGGTATTAGGGTCTGATCTCATCTTTGGCGGCAACGTCACTTTTGGCCCGAGCTTCTCCAAGGCGTAGACTATCTCTGTAGGTGACACACAAAAATTATGAGCAGATAATAGGCGGCATACCTCTGTCGTTCTGATGAGTTCATGTCCCTGGTCTGGACGGACTTTCTTCGTAGCGGGGGGAGGGCGCGGCGGCCGTCCTGATATATGGTTGATGTTGTTCCCTGTTAGGTCGTGGAATTGGATGATCTCTTCTGGGGGTGTCTCTTCGCTCTTTTCTTGATTCGGCTTGTACCGAGGTTAGTCGGTGAGTCGGTCCGTTGAGGTCATCTTCGTCTGCACGGACCTCAGCATAGTAAGCATTGTGGACTTTGTCCCAAGTGGTTGGGGGATAACTCATGAACCGACTCAATAGTTTTCTAGTTGCTCTTGAACCTTCTCTACTCGGCTCATTTTGAAAGGCTGTGACCGCCATCCCTTTAGATACATTTGGCATAGTCATTCTCACTAGGTTGAACCGGGCGAGGAAGTCCCTTAGTCCCTCTCCCAAGGATTGCTTAATAGCAAATATGTCATTCACTCTTGCCTCGACCTTCTTGGCTCCGGCATGGGCCGTTACGAAGTTGTCGTCCATTTCCTCGAAAGACTCTATGGAATGTGTTGGTAGCTGTGAAATTGCCCCTCCCATGAGGGTTTCGCCAAACTGCTTCAGTAAAATGGAAGATACTTGTTCTTTGGTGAGATCATTGCCTTTTACGGCGGTGTCGTAATGAGTCACGTGATCTTTAGGGTCGGTTGTACCGTCATATATCCTGAGATAGGGCGGTATTTTAAAGGTTTTTGGAATAGCATGTGCAGCTGCATCATCACTATACGTCTGTTCGACGAACCGGCCAGTGTCCCTCTTCGACAACATCTTAGGAGCGCCAGGTATTTTATCGATGACGCCAAATTGTTTGACCAAATAATATGGATCTTGGTTCAAATACTTAAATTTCTGTAATTGGGGTTAAACTTAGTTAACAATAATATCTCTAGAAGAGGCTTTCAAACACACTAAATGGGTTCGGTTAGATAGTAATAACAATATGCAATAATTGTTCTTCAAAGCATGAGTAATAATGTAGCATTTAAGAACAATGAATAAGAATAAATGGCATTTAAGTAAATAGAAGGAATGATTCACCCGATAAAGGGTGAAATAGATGGATGTTTTACCTGACAATGATGAGTGACAGGCAAATTCTTGAATATTTGAGTTATTCTCGGATCTGATGGAAAAGTATGGAAGAGTATAGACAAGAATCTTAGTGAAAAGGTAGTGCTTGTATCTTAAAAAGAGAGAGAGAGAGAGAGAGAGAGAGAGAGAGAGAGAAAGAGTCTTTTGTCAAAGAGTGTTCGTACAAAATGAATATCACATGCCCTTATCATTGTCTCTTTTTTCTATATATATGGGACTTATTTCTAAGAAACCCTAATAGTACAAGTACATGGAATATCCACTAGAATATTCTCTTTTATATCCTATCCTGAGAAACTAGCCGTTACAGCTCTTATCAACGATATTCGACCTCGACCCTTGTTGACATCTCGACTAGGCTCTTGTCGACACTTAAGCCAGGGACTTTGTTGCTTCTTGGGTCACTTCGACTAACTGCGATTCGAGAACTCTTCCCTTAATATTATCTTGGGTCAAATAATTAAATTTATGTAATTGGGGTTAAATTTATTTAACAATAACTACGTATTCTTCAGAGAGGTTGGCCCAGATGTATATACAGGAGATTGTCTTGTTGGATGGTATGCCTATTTACATCATTTCAAATAGAGGCCCTCAGTTCACTTCACATTTTTGGAGAGCAGAATAGAGTTAGTTAGCTACCCGGGTAGAGCTCAACACGGCTCCGCAGACCAGTGGGCAGTTGAAGCGGATAGTTCAGATTCTAGAGGATATGCTCAGAGCATGTGTGATTGACTTTGGAGGACAATGGGATCGATTCTTACCTTTGGCCGATTTTGCTTGTAACAACAGTTATCAGTACAGCATTGAGATGGCTCCCTTTGAGGCTTTGTATGGTCGGCGATGGCGTTCCTCCATCGGTTGGTTTGAGCCCGGCGAGGCTAGGTCATATGGTACTGATTTTTTAAATGATGCCTTGGATAAGGTAAAGTTGATACATAAGTGACTTTGCCCGGATCAGTCCATGTAGAAGAGTTACGCAGATAAAAAAGTGTGTAATTTATCATTTATGACGGGCGAGAAGGTTCTCTTGAAAGTCTCACTGATTAAGGGTATCATGAGGTTTAGAAAGAAGGGAAAGCTGAGTATGAGGTTCATCAGTCCATTTGAGGTGTTGGAGCGAATTAGAGAGGTTTCTTTCAGGCTTGATTTGCCTCCCAGTTTATCGGGAGTTCATCTAATTTTCCACGTGTCTATTCTCTGGAGGTACTATGCCGACAAGTCACATATGTTAGATTAAAGTATAGTTCAGCTGGATGAGAGCTTGGGTTTTGAAGATGAGGCAATTGCCATTGTTGACAGGCATGTCCGCCAGTTGAGGTCTAAGAAGATTTCAGCGGTAAAGGTCTAGTAGAGTGGTCAACCAGTCGAGGAGATGACTTGGAAGACCGAGGAGGACATGCGGAGCAGATATCCACACTTATTCAGCACTCCCGGTATGATTCTAGACGCGTTCGAGGACGAACGTTTGCTTAAGAGGTGGAGAATGTAACGACCCGATCAGTAGTTTTTCTTTCTAGATCTCGGTTCTGCTATTTAAGACTTCTTGTATGTGCTTTTACTGTTTTATGACTTGCGGGGATTATTTCTTTGTTTTGGAAAGGTTCGGGTTGGATTCGGAATGCTTAGTTCCTTAATAGTGGCCTAAGGTGGCCAAATTTGAATTGAGTCAACATTTTAAGTAAACGACCTCGAAACTGGGATTTGATGGTTCCAATAGGTCGGTGCGATGATTTTGGACTTGGGCTTGTGTTCGAATTGAGTTTCGGGTGATCCGGGAGCGTTTTGGTGCTTAATGTTGAAAGTTGGAGCCTTGAAGGTTTTAGAGTTTCTTAAATTTGGTTTGAAGAGTTTGGTGTTATCGATATCCGTTAGGGATTCCGATCCAGGGAATAGGTTTGTTTGGTGATTTATGACTTGTGCATAAAATTTGGCATCATTCCGAGTTGTCTAAGTATGATTTTTCACGTTCGGAGCTAGTTGAAGAAGTTTGAAGTTCATAAGTTGATTAATTTGGTTTTAGGGTGAGATTCTTAGTTTCAATGTTATTTTATGTGTTCCGGGGCTTCGGGCGGGTCCGAATCATGTTTATGAACACATTGATGCATTTGGACGGGGTCCTAGGTGGCTCGGGTGTGTTTCGGATCCCAGAGTTAAGTCCAAAACCCAGGGTACTGGTACTGGTTTCCTACTTCGCAAACGCGGAGGGTGTCACACGTTCGAGATAAAAGATTTGTGGCAGTGGTGTTTTTGTTCTTTGCATTCGCAATCATAGGTCGCGTTCGCAAAGGTTTAGGGTCTGGCCTTCGCGTTCGCGATTAGAGGTCTGCATTCGCGTAGAATAGAGTGGGTCCGGGGATCAGCAGGTCATTGCGCTTCGCGTTCACGAAGGGAAGGTCGCATTCGCGATGCTTTGTCTGGGCCTTTTCGTGATCGCGAAGAAGGACCACTAGGAAGAACATGTTTTGAATCGGTACTTAGGCTTATTTTCTCTCATTTCACATTGGTTTGGCCGATTTTAGAGCTTCTTGGAGAGGTATTTTCACCTAGCAATTGAAGGTAAGTGATTTCTACCTAATGTGAGTTTAATACATAGATTATGGGTAGATTTTAACATAAAAATTATGGAAATTATGGGATTACATTGAAAAACCTAGGGTTTGGTAAAAATGGGACTAGACCACGAAAATGATTATAGAATTGGGTATAAATTATATATTCGAGTTCGTAAGGTCATGGGTAATATTTATCTACAAAAAATTCTAAAATCCGAGAACGTGGGGAGAAGGGGGTAACTTTTAGGAACTTTTCGATGTGGGTTGCGTAATTACTCTAATAGATGAATTATGAACTTTTGATCATATATTGATTAGTTTGTACGACTTTTGACTATTCTCTATTACATGCACCGGGGTCGTGCGTCTTTCTCGTGGCGGGAACAGAACAACAGGGAAAGACCCAGCTAAAAATCATGTTTATGTCCGGGTAGACTTAGGATTTTATCATGCAATATTTGTATTAATTGAACTCAACTTGTTAGTTTACTTACTTGAATTTAAAATTGAAATTTGATTAGGGATTATGTTAGGCCGAACTTCATTACTTTGAGTTTTGGCGGAATATTCTATTGTTGATAGAAAATTATGCTTCTTAATGTGCCTATCCTGGTGTTGTAATTGTATAACCCGTAGTCCAAAGAGTTTCTCTATTCCTATGGATCGCCCGAACACCTATGAAATATATATTGAGATGCATCCATGGATCGGGCCGTACGACCTCTTTAGTGTATGTACACGATTATTATGGATCGGGCCGTACGACCTCGGCATAACTCATGTTAATATCGCTTGGAGTCCGAATATACCTGGTATTTCCTTCATGACTTGAGAATTGATATTTACTTGATGGTTCTTATTTGTTGAAATGGCATGTGATATTTGGAGATTTTAAATTGATATTTTGTTAAAGAATCACGTTATTTATTGTTTATTATTCCATTGTTATTGTTATATTTCATGTCTATTTATAATTCTTGCACTTTATTTATTGACTATTAGTAAGTGTCAATATCAACCCCTCGTCACTATTTCTTCAAAGTTAGACTAAATACTTAATAGGTACACGTTGATTAACGTACTCATGCTACACTTCTGTACAAATTGTGCAGGTGCTGAGGCAGGTACATCTGGTATCCGTTCGGGTGCGCATCCACATTATCCGGAGAGTTAGTGGTGAGTTGTTCCCCCATGCTCCTATCTACAGCACCCGGAGTCTCCTTCCTATTGCTGTCTATTTCATTTCAAACAGTAGTTGTAGTGGTTTGTATATTCTACTAGATTGTTCGTGCACTTGTGACACTAGGTTTTGGAAAGTTCTACTAGATGTTTATGGTTTTTTCCTATTAATATCACCATTTCACTCTTATGTTTTATTTATGATTTACGTCACTATGGCCTTCTATACTTAGTTTCTTTATTAAATAAAATTCATGATTTTAAAAGTAATAAGATGAATAATTAAATGGATAGTTCACTGTTGGCTTTCCTAACGGCCACGTTGGGTGCCATCACGACCTATAGTGAGAATTGGGTCTTGTCATCTATGGAAGTAAGACTAACAAGAACGAATTTATAATTCTTGTATTTCAACCAAGCAAGGCAATTCGGTATATGTCTATCCTAACCGCGAATTCGTTCCCCGATGCACAGGTTCAAGAACTTGCTCTATTTAATCCTATATTCAATCTAGATTTCCCACTTTCGAGTTCAACACTAGATTCGTAGATAGTATTTCACCAATAGCTATGCAACAAAATAATTAAGAACATGATTAAATAAACAAACCAATATGATAAAATCAAAATTATCAATTTAAACTTCAAACATCAACATTCATGTAGCACCCATAACCCCAGAACGAGAAGAAATAGCCACTCATAGTCATGCTAATAACCAATATATTATTTTTACACATAAAATCTATGAATACTAGATGAAAAATGGAAGAATCGATGAATTTCGTGCTCTGTTTGTGTTTCTATGCCTTTTCCGCCTTCAAAATTGACCAACCCCCCAATAATCACATTTAGGGGGTATTTTATAGGTTAGGGTCGGAGTCCTCAGGCCTAAATCCAAGTGGAAACGTATAATGCCCGGACTCGGAAAGGACCGGGCCTC